ATAAGAATAATCTAAAAGAAAGCTTCTTTTCTTCTTTCTCACAGGAACCATTCCTCTTGGCAGTCCGGGAGTGGAGCCCTCCCAAGGTGAGAAAAGGAATGCGACGTGGAGCCGGGCGACCACCCCATCCTCCATGTCATCCTTCAGCGGTGGTTTCCCACAGGGCTGAATCATCGCCTCGCCGCGTTTGCGCCGTTCCACACGCACAACACGCAAAAAAAAATCAAGAAAAAGTCGGACCATCAAATCGTGAGGTTTGTTCCAAGACAGAAACAAATTGTGTGTGTGTTTCTTTTAAGAAGTAATAAACAAAAACATCACTCGCAGCTCTTTCCGACGTGCACTCTCACTTTCCGGCCCTTCAAACACTCCACCTGCAAGCAGTTGAACCGCACTCGTGCCACCGGCTCATTCTCACAAAGCGCAAAGTACCTCCGCGTGCGACCGAAGGTCTTGGACTGGGAAGTGAACGGGGTCTTTCTCGGGGGGGTAGGCCGCTAGTAGGGAGAGGTAGCTACTAGCTACAAGTAAGCTACTAGTAAGTGGACGCAGGATAGCTCGTTCTAGAATTCAGAAGTTGTCTAAATGAAGTGGTTGTTCTTCTTCGGAATTGAGGGAAGGGTGGTCTAAGTCGCGCTTCAAAGCAAACAGTCCTACGGTGAGACAACAAGCTCTTTCACTGCATGGTCAAGCTATTGGAATTCGGTGTTGGCGTTCACTGAGGATATCCCAACGATCTTGGAGTGCACCAGACTCAATCTGATCAGCTTAGATTGCGATGGAAAGACGTTTGTGTCTGCCCGTGATTGGAGTTAGACTTGGCAAGAACACCCGCAGAACACCCGGGAAAACGAACAGCTCAAAGACTATTCGGCTCAAATGTTCACGGCGCTTTCTCCACGGCGTCCACGGTCTTGAACTTCAACGATGTTCCTAGTAGCGTCCTTGCTCCTAGTAGTGATGCCAGGAGCCCCTACTAGCTTCTTGTTACTAGTAGTAAGCCCAGGAGCTACTAGTAGCCTTCTTGCTCCTAGTAGCGACGCCCTTTGATGGGCCCAAAACATTTGTGCGACTGTCACCACAGGCGCACGCCAGTCGGGTGTAGTGGCCCACATGGGACGCCATGGTATCTCTGTGGATGTTGGTCGCCTCAAAAGTCGGGACGCCGAAAGGTTCTTTGGAGTCACTGTAGTCGTTCTTGTTTCTATGTGTGTGTGTGTGTTTTGCTTTTAGTCCACTCCCGACTCAATTATGTAGGCGCCTACTTAATTAGGTCAGAAAGTAAGCTACTAGCAATAGGAAGCCAATACACATGGATGCAGGACAGCTCACACTTCAAGGAAGCTCCCCCGGTCTGAAGGCGGGGGGGAGCTTCCTTGAAGAAGCGCTCGCACTAATGATTTGGCTCCTAGACTTTTAGGGGAACTCAACTTTGTAGTCTGTCTTTTTCTTCAGGCCGAGTTTTGCTTCTTTCGTTAAAAACAGTCGAGACTGAAAGCAAGCCGAGGCCTGGAAGATGATGTTTCTATCAGGAACCCTGGGACCTTCTGGAACCCTTTTCTCCTCTGAACATATAACAGGCACAAGCAGTCTTCCAACAGGCAAGAATTGATCCATTATGGAAGGCGCCTGACCGCGAACAGTAATAGTCCATGAAGACTGGCCAAATGATGTTCTTCTGACCCGAAGAAGCTCCGTGTTGGCCTATATAGATCGGCATTCTCTACTGGACCTGTGCCAATTTCGGCCGAGGATGAGAGATTGGACACTCTACGCTGTCCAAGCACAAAATCTACGCTGTCCAAGCACAAAATCAGCTTCTTTGCACCGGCAACCGAAACTCCATGGCATCGAAATCGAACTGAACCTACGCAGGCAGTAGGTCCCTACCACTGAATGACCGAGCACCGCTTCCCCCCGCTTAAGCAGCCCAGCTGAGCTCCGCACCCATTCCCACTTGGAGGTATCCGCTCCTCCGGTCCCATGGTACCTCTGGGTGGTTCCGCTGCCTCTTTGCTTCTAGTAGCTTCGGGTTACTGGTAGTAATGCCCTTTGTTCCTAGTAGCTTCTTGTTACTAGTAGTAATGGCCTCCAACCTAATAGCGTCCTTGTTACAGGAGGGACTTCAGGACGAAACCTGGGTGGTTCCGCTCAGATTCAACCAGCTTTGGACCTGACAACTACAGAAGAGCCGGCCAAAGGCTTGCAGGGCCAGGTCATTCCTTCTCAAAAGACAGGACACCTCCCAAGATTGATGGGAGAAGTTCGGCGAAAAAAGACATGCATCTCCCTAAGAAAAAGAATCTCACCTCCAAACTAAAAGTTCAACGTCTTTAAGTCTCGGAACCATGAAGAAACCGAGTCTCAATTCCATAAAAATAGTATATTATGAAGGATCTTTGGTTGCAAAATCGCGAATAACTCCTTTAAGGGTTTTGTTCCTCAACGTCCTCTAGGCTCTCCGACTTTGTCTGAAGATGTTCCATCTGCGCATGCACCTTGCGGAGTTATGAAGGCGGCAACAAAGTTGGAAGACTGGACAATCAGTTTGATTCAGTGGCTCCAACTAAGCACTACTAAAAATGTCGAACGAAGACCACGGAAGACTTGTGAATGAGGCTGCGTGAAAGCTCGATTCAGCAAGCTTCATCTTCAACTCTCAACACAATGACCATCAGTGACCTAATCTTTTCATTTATGGCCCATTAGCTGCCACAGGCTAAACACACCTGGGGGTTGTTCAAAATTATGGTTCCCAAAAATTGTTCTTTCGCCGCGCTTTCGCGGATCTTTCGCATCCTTTCGCCCCCAATGTAAAATGTATTAGGATATATGATATTATTTTCGTTATTTCGTTTTCGGTGGAGGACCTGAGTAGAGCCACAAAAGTTCATCCATCGTATATGCAACAATAAATGTGCCGCTGCTACTTACTACTTTGGGGAGTGTGGATTGTGGATAACTTTGGTTTTTGGTTCCCGTTATTCCAAGGGCGCTCGGTAGATCTTTTCTCCTTCATGGGCGTTCAGACATCTTTCGTTGCAGCTTGCTTCGTTTCTTGCCATCGACTCCGTCTTCGAAGTAATTGTTTCGCATGATTTGTTGCAGTTTTTTCCCTGTCACTGATGAGGTTTGGCACTTGCATTGGGCAAGGTGGTGTTGCGGTTGGGGCGCTTGGCTTCGGGACAGTTGTTGTTCACCCATTCCTGGAAAAGATAAAGCAAGATGCGACATGGCGTGGACTCTGGACTAGCCCATTTGGGCTCCCGATGGTTTCGGGCAGGCTCGTCTTTCGCCAACCTTGCGCGTCGCTTTCGCGAAGCTTTCGCGTTTTTCCTCGTTCGGTTTGGGGAATTTTGCTACTTGAATCTTCTCTTGTGATCCGTCTGCAAGATGTCTTATTGCTGTCTGTTTCTTTTCGTACGCATCTATGACATGCTGGGGTGTTCGCTAAGCTGGTGATACATATCCTTCAAGATATTACATGCTTAGCCACTACTCTTGCAGCTTTCTGCCTATCACGCCTTGCATGGAAACCACTCTCCCTGTTTGTTTTAGACACAAAGAGATATGCACAACATGTGCATACATGTATGAATTATCTATGATATATTTCTATCAAGTTTAGCCTTTCGCCAAACCTTTCGCCGCGCTCTCGCATCCTTTCGACCCTGCAGGTAAACACAACTTCAAAAAGCTAGAATGTCACTCGTCCACTAAAAACATTACACGGGTTTTAGAACGACCTAAATGCCCCACTTCCGGACGTCTACAAGAGAGAGGCAAGAAGGATTTGTTTGAAAAACACACAAAAACATTCCCCACCATCGCTGCTAGTAGCTACTATAGTAACAAGAAGCTACGAACGGGCTCCTGGCATCGCGACTGGAACGGCGCGTTCGGACGCTACGAACGGGGCGATGTCTCGATGGTCTCGTCGCTTCGGCCCAGCACATGGAAGCGATCGTAGACGCCCAAGTCGACGGACTGCCCGGGCACCGGTGTGGCCATGACCTGGTCCGGGCTCCGACACACGGTGAAACTGGCACGCGGAAGCGAGGCGAGGCGTGGGAAAGACGGGAAAGACGGGAAAGCTGAAAACTCTCAAAAGTAGATGGTGAAAATGGAAGGATTTGGGCCTGTTTTGAAGAGAATTGCCATGTTGAAAAGAATAATCGAAGAACAAAAAGCATCAAAGAAGAATGTTGAATGTGGCATCCGTGTTTTTAGATAAGACTGTCCCCCCTCCACTGGAATTTTGTGGATGCTAATGGTGCAATGTAGGTGGTTCAGCATCAACCGAAAAGAAAAAAAACTTTGGAACGAGAGCTCCACACCGACAGTGCTTGAGGGGCATATGTGCAACGATGACCACCCCTTCCACTTCAGGCTGACTGTCTACTAGAAGTGCTTCTCAGGTCATTTCCAAGATGCTTTCATGCAAGTCTTCATTCCGAAGCTCATTGCACACCAAAAGCCTAAACCTAACCACAAGTATCTGAAATTGAACTCGCTGCGCTTCTCCACGTTCTCTGGGGCACAGACTGGCACGGGCTGAACGGACCCAACCGCGTCGACCCGTCTCTCAAACCCTCTGAACCACCAAACGTCGCGGCGGTCCAACCTACTAGCAATGGCCTCCAACCTAATAGCTTCTAGCTACTAGTAGCGAACATTGCTCCTAGTAGTACGGCCAGGAGCCCCTAGTAGCGTCCTTGCTCCTAGTAGCGATGCCAGGAGCCCCTAGTAGCTTCTAGCTAGTAGCAATGGCCTCCAACCTAATAGCGATGGCCTCTGGAGGAGACCCGAGGATCTCTCCACAAGTGGCTCCACACAACTGGCATGTTGAGGACTCATCGCAAGCAGGATGAACTGAGCTGAGCTTGATGCGGGTGATGGACTGGTGGTTTCTAGGATGGACTGATGGCAGCATGGGAACCCGTGGCAAGTCTGAATAGAAGGAGCTCACGCAAAAAAAAACCTCCCCTGGTCTGCAGCTTCGCGCTTCCATGACTTGTTGCCGAGGAAAGGTATCAATCGATCTACAGGGTACGAAGTGCTCCACCGCTTCGACTTTGTCGCAGTGGGCAATCGACCACAGTCTCACTGGCTCGCTCTCCCGGCTGCTCCTCTCGAGGCTGCCTGCCAGTGCCATTTCGAGCTCAAGACTTGATGCGGTCACCACTGGCCGTGCACGGATGTGCCACTGCACACTTCGATAGTTTCAGTTCCCTGAAGGCGCCAATTTGGCGAGTAGAAACGAGCAAGTCCCACATCTTCAAGGTGCGCTGGTGAAAATACCAATTCCGGTCGGTGAAAGGCTTGAGGAAAAACATATACGGTATTGATGGGATACAGTAACCTACTAGTGACGGCCTCCAACCTACTAGCAATTCTGAATGGTTTGATGGGATGTCAATTCTGAATCTTCTTGAGCAAATCCATTAGCAATTCTGCATCATTGTTCGTTGTCGAACCCTGGTAGAGCCCGTGTGCTGATGCTGAAAGACTCAGCCCTTCTTCCACACAAACAGTTCACTGCAGTTCACTCACCCAACATTTCGGTCGACCTAAATTTGAGAAGTACAGTCATAGTGGTACAGCTTCAATCCAACAGAAGCTCTGTTGTTCAAAGACATCTCCAGAAACTGAAAAAGCCAAAAAGAATCCACATGAATCAACCTTGGTTCCTTCTGCACTTCACACAAAGTTTTTTAATGCAAACAACAACTAAATGATAACCTAGTTCCATGTAGTTGCCTCCTATATGTTGTTCCCATCTCTCCCGCTTGCGTTTCTCGCGTTGCGGGCTCTCACCCCGGTCTCGCGGCGTTTCGTCCCACTCGTCGTGAACGACGCACCGGTCGAGGACGCCTGGACGGCCTTTCAGGGCGGTTGCCCCGCCACGCGGACGTTGTGCCCGGTGCGCAGCTCCTCCTGGACGTCCTCGGCCGGAGACCGGTAGCAGCGACCGGTGACGGGGATGTCCGTTGACCATGCGGTGGTGAGCGAAAAAAGCCTTGGGTTCTTTGAAGGTTGCAAAAGTGGATCAATACGATTCACCCGAAATCCACACCAAATTCCACTAGGCCTGCCAAGTTTGGGCCCTCAAGCCACCGACCAAGAATGGCTGGCTTGGAATATCTCCACCGGATGGATCTCAGAAAACCCCCCCCCCAGACGTCCAAAGAGCTGCCTGGCGAAGGCCTGTGTACTGCGTGAGAACCTCACAGCACGGCGGTGGCTTGTTGAAGGTCCCTCAATATGACGAGGTCTTATTGTTGTCCATGTTGTTGTGGGTTTGTTCTTTAGACCTGTTGGCCTTGAGACCTTCGTTCTTTCCAAGGTTATGTCTCCCTTGTCCTTTTTTCTTTAACGTTCTTGAAGATGTAATGTATCTCTTGTCTTAATTTGTGCATCTTAACTACACATGGGGTACTTCTCCGAGTGGTGGGAAAGATTCCTTGTTTCAAAAGGCATTCTGCCTTGTAGAAGATTTCTTGAAAGCAACAGCATGAGCTACACGGAATGGCAACAGTGACATTCCACCTTTTTCACTGATGGTGCGATGCTTGTGTGCAAGCTGCGTTCGCTACAACCAAGTGGAGGTCAACTCATCTCTATCAACAGGTGGCCGTCCAAAACAAGCGCCACTTCAAAGGGAGTTTCCCTGAATGCAGTTGGATGCCATCGCTAGTAGGTTGGAGGCCACCACTCTCAGGTTGGAATGCACAGCAAACCACAAAAGAGAGGTCGGAATCCGCTGTGGCCCACAGTGGCCCTGTGCCTGGCTCTGACGCTTGGAGTCTCCCACTTTGGCATTCTGCGCCACACCCAGAAACGGTCCTGCAAATCACAGACTGCCCGGCACGGAGTTGCTGCCGCCGTGTTCTTGCTCATTCCACTAGATTCACTTCTTTGCTCCATTGCTTGTTTTTTCGGAACAGTGTGTGCTTGGTGTGCTCCATGCTTGGTGTGCTCATTGTTCTTCTTTACAAACAAATGCGTACATCTTCCTTGCATCGAAACTCTTCCGCTCCCTTCCGTGAAACAACACGGCGGAACTCCTGGGAACTCGGGGGCCGTGCGCCGGATCACCGAGCCCAAGTTGAAGATACACCTGCACGGTGACGCGTGGATCCGCGCGGAGTCCAGACTCGCCATGGATGGGGAAGTGAGGTCACTAGAACCCCCCCTTTTCTAGGAACCAAGCAGAAAGAAAAAGATGTTGGTGTTGCCTTTGTTTACCCCTATATAAAAGTCTTCGTTGTGTCTTTTTTCCTCGAGAACTTTTAGACTTCGTTCTTCGACCCTTTTTTTTCTAGAAGCGCAAGGTGAGGCAGGTGGGATGCGAAGTTCTCCACACCAATGAATGGACGTCTGCGTTTGATCTCGAATTCCAGCCCCACAAGCTCAGAGACTTAGAACCTCCAGAAATAGTTCAGATTTACCAATTGTCTGAATGCAAGTTCACCTTTTTTGAGTTTCTCTCCGCTGGCCCTGTGGGAAACAAAGAAAATGCTATAAATATGATAGCAAAATCACCCAACCTTCGTCACGATACATTTAGTCTCCACCAACCCACCAAGCAACCTCACCAACTCCAGAGTCCTCAAGTTAGACTCCACACCGTGAAACACAGGTCGCAATCAACCGCTTCATCCCGCCTCTGCACTGAGGTGATATTCTTCGCCTGGCCGATCCAAAGAAGCTGGAAGAACCCCCTCGATCCCTTCTCCGCTGCGGACTGCGGACTGGGCGCGGGCAGTCTTCCACCGGCCTCGAAGAGATCCACCGTGGAGAAGACGTCCTTCTCCAAGACGCCCAGCTTTCGGCAGGCCTCAGATGGTGGATGAACATGCTTGAAAACATTCAGTGTAGGGAAAATGGGAAAGAGGAACGGCCATGGGGGTTCTGTAGGCCTCTCGGAGTAAAAACATTCAGTAGGGAAAATGGATCGCGAGCGACTGGCCCATATTCGACTCCATCTGGCCTGGATGAAGGCAGTGACGTTCTCCTGTGGGCACAGCGACTGAGGGCATTTTACCCGAACCATCTGGTCAAGAACCTTCTCAGTCCCAATTCTTTTTCATGCCCCCGAGCCTCCAACAACTTCGCACTGACACTCTAAGCTGGTTGAAGAATGACAGATGGATGCATCTTTGAGACACGATTCGTTCATCTGCCGTTGCAGCAAGGATTGCCTAGAGAATTCCTTCTGGTCTCCAGGGCACTGGAGCAGTTTGTCATCTGTCAACATCCATGCCAAGCACAACGAGACTCTTAGGGCGCACCATCTGTTTGAAGGGCATCTTTGAAGAGTTCACGTTGCCGATGATGCCTGAAAGGTTTCGCATTCATGGCGATCCTCGCGATATGGTCGCAGGGGCAGCAGAAGCAGCATATCGAAACCTTCACAATTGGTAAGACTTACTGACTTAGTGAAGTTTGCTTCGTAATCTAACCAATCTTCCAGGCTGTGATCGTGCTGAGCCATGCTGGGCCTGGTTGGATGGTGTTGACGACCTTGCAAAGGATCTTCCCATCCTTCAGCCACTTCGCAAAGGGCTCTTCTCCTGCACAGAGCCCACAATGAAGAAAGTTTCTTTGCAGGAACCTATGAGATTGATATTGGGGGACGCTATATCCTCCATACGGGTTACATGCGCTTTAAACCTACAAGTCTTCTCTACTAGTCACACGAACTCTTTGCAAACGTGGGAAAAGGGAGCCTCCCCTCTCAAAAAACATAGAAACAAGGGCATCGCTACTAGGAACAAGTGCCCCACTAGTAGTAACAAGAAGCTATTAGAAACAAGAATTTAATTAACATTAAGTACCAAATATAGACTCCTTCCATTCGGTCCAAAGATGTGGAGCACCGTTCCCCACCGACGGTGCCTCGCTCTTCGCCTGAGACGGCTACGATCCACTTGGACACCTCCTCCTGGGCGGGACAAGCCGCGTCAAACTTCGCAAATTAGTAACAAGTGCCACGCTACTAGGGGCTCCTGGCATCGCTACTAGTAACAAGAAGCTACTAG